GCTGAGTTAGCCCCCTGGGGGCTGCGCCTTTGTCCTGATTGTGTGTCTCCGCCACAGCAGAGCCGGGCAGCCCCCAGAGAGCGGGGAGGTGAGTGGGGCTCCCCCAGCCCGGCCAGGCGGCGGGGGGATTAGGTCTTGGTCCAGCCCTGGTTGCCCTGGCACAGCAGCCCAGCCGGGCTGGAATGTCCGTGGGGGGGAGCAGGCGGAGCGGAGGGGCGGGGCCGACAAGGTGGGGTAAGGGGGGGCACACAAAACCGGGGGCAGGAGGAGTTAATTAGACGCCAGCCAAGGAGGGCGAGGGGCCACAATAGGGGCCTCACTTCCGGAGGATTAATAGGGAAGAGGGAGAGGGAGGGATTCATCTCTGGGGAAGGAGAGCTAGAAGCTTCTCAGGGTGGCACTGCCCCCTCTTGCCCAGCTTCGCACCAACTTGGCCTGGAGGCAAGAAGGCTCTGGTAACCTGGCAGGTGCCCTCCGCATCCGATGATAGGCAGGGAGGAAAGGACCCTCTCATTTATCAAGGAAATAGTGGAAGCGGGAATGTTTAGGGGCCCTGTTCTCTATCCCCCACCCTATCCCACCCCTTACTCTGAGGCAGAAACAGGAGCCTGAAGCTTACCCTTCCTGATGAAGCGGCCAGGTTAAAGCCAAGACGACCGACCGTACTGGGGGCAGGAGCTGGTGTGAACACAGGGGAGTGGAGGCCGCTGTGTGTGTGCGCACTTGTGCATGCAGCTGTGCTTGTGCGCAGGGCCTGGCCTCCAGCAGGTCCTCAGTAAATGCCCGTTGAATGAATGAATGAATGAATGGACTTCGGTTTTGCTGAGAATAAATGGGTGTGAGGAAGAGACACGGTGCCGGGCTGCACAATGATACAAAGTGAGTGGCCCTAGGCCCTTTCAGTCTGAGCTCCCAGCCATGGTCCAGGAAGGACTGGGACCCCACCTCTGAGCAGATGAGCAAATGTCCAGGAAAAATCAAGTGGCAGTGGTTCCTTCCCTTTAACAAGAGAAAAGAAAAAAAAAAGCGCAGTAGCCTCTTGGAAGCCCCACTTCCTCCTGGGCCCCAGGGAGCAGGGCAGCCCTGGCTCCTCCTCAGGAGCCACCCCACCCTACCCCCTCCCAGGGGATGACAGGGGAGCGAGTTGGCGGCAGTTCCCTGGGCATATTTATAACCTGCTGCTCGCTCACCAGCGTCTGCTTTTAGCCCAGACGGGGGAGGGGGCAGAGGGGTGGTCTGTCTCATGCTGGGCGCCCCGGCTGGGTGTGGAAAGAGTGAGTAAGGGTGAGTGGTGGGCAGCTCTGCATGGATATTCCTGCTCACACCACAGCCAAACAGCTTATTTTCTCCTCATTTTGTTATTTTTCTCCCTCTGGCTTGGAGAGGAGTACTGAACCAGCCTGGGTGGGGAGGGGAGCGGGCTAGACCCTGGGGTATTGCAGCCCCACTGACAGGGTTTTCCAGGGTGCGTGTGGCAGGGTGTGCGTGGTGCCAGCTTGCTGACCCCCTGGGGACTGTGCCTGCCTGCCATCTCAGTCCTCTCAGGTTTTCCTCTCCCCCACCCCCTCCCCCTGGATATTTCAAGACCAGCACCTCCCTCACTTGCTGAGGCCAACCATGTGTCAGGGTCCCTGGCAGCCTCAGATTCCCCTGGTGTGTGGCATCTGGCACCTGAAGATCAGAGGTGAGTGGGAGGATAGCCTGCATGGATAGGCCAGGGCTGAGGCATCAGGCCCGTTCCCGATAGTACTATCCTATGGCACCCCCCCCCACCCCGAGCTGCCCTGGGTCCTGAGACTGTAGTGAGGCCTCTCTCCAGGCACAGTTGTTTTTCTCCCCAGGATTTACCTGCTCAAGTTTTGCCTGAGGATGGCATAGATGCTCATAATCACAAAATAATTACTTCATATGATGTAGTGCTTTGCAGATCTTATAGCCCCTTCGCTTGTTTTTTTTCCCTTTTATTAGTGTATGCCCCCTTGAGAACTAGTCCTCATTCTGCACTTCCCTACCTCCTCTTCAAAGCCCCAGCTGCTGCGAGTGAAGGGCCTCCATGCTGAGGACTTGAGTGTAGGAATCTGTCCTTAAACCTCATACATGTGCAGAGGGTGTTGACCTTCCCTGAGCCTCCATTGTACTCCCCCCATTACACTATGTGTGTTGGTGTGCTTGACTCCCCAGATGGACTGTGGACTTTTCAAGCAGGCACTATGGCTGTCTCCCCAGCACTGGGCATATGCCTGGCACAGGAGAGGTGTCAGCAAGTGTTCAAATGACCTGAGCTTTCATGCACATGATCTCCTCTGAACCTCATCACCTTCCTGAAGAAGTCTAAGTACCCATAACCACCCCTATTTAATAGACAAGGCAACCAAGTCTGGGGGAAAAACAAACAAACAAATAAACAAAAGATTTGTTGAAAAGCTAGTTCAGGCCAGAACAGGATTCACTGCTTTCTCTTGCTCTTCTTCCAGCTCCTATGTGTCAACTCAGCCCAAAGCCTTCCAGCATCTGGGCCTACAGCAGATACTGGTCTAGCTCTTGGAGTTAGGAGTTAGGTGAGAGTGGTTGGGGCCAGCTGCCAACCCTTCTATTCTCCACCCTGCTGCTTCTCCCCAACTCTGGGCATTGTCCACCAGGGGCATAAGCCCCCCCTCCTGCTTCTGGCAGCCCATTAACTTCTTGCTTTAGAAGCTGAGCGATCTAATAGCTTCTCTGCAGGGGGTTCTTTACTGGAAATCCAAGGCTTGTCAGGTGCCTTCTACCCCAGATCAATAATATTCCTCCCCCTGACTGCCCATCAGAGCTGAGCTGGTGCTAGCTTGGCGGATGAAGAGAAAGGGAAAGGGGTGGCATTGCAGCATTGAGCAGCTCCTGGCTCCACTCCTCTACCCCCACACATCCCAAAGGCCAACAGGGTCAGAGTTCACACACCCAGGGAGAGGTGGGAGGCACCAACCACAGCAAAAGAGTCCTGGGGTGAGGGGGAAATTCTCCATTTGGCTGGGATCAGTTGTTGCCCTGGGGGGGTGGGGGTGGGAGTGGGGGGTGGAGAGCTTCATAGCTCCCCCTGCCTTTCGGGTCCTCCCCTGGGGGGAAGTGTGAGGATTAGGGACAGGCATTAGAGTTTAGGAAGGGGTTAGTGTTTGAAGTTAGGGTTAAGGCTAAGGTTACACTTAGACCTAGGCATGGGGAGAGGATTAGAGTTAGAGACAGGTTTAGGGCTGTGGGCAGGATTAGTACTTCCGCCAGCCAACTCGTGAATGCGCGCAGAGGTGTCAGTGTTGTTAGGAACAGATTCCTCAATGGGCTCTTTATGGGAATAGTTCGCTTCATGGTTGGGTTATGGGCCACACTTGGGTTTCCTTTTGGTTACGTTGTTTTAAGTCCTCACTGCCTACTGCCTGACCACAGCTGAAGCAGATAGGCTTCAGGGACCAAGAGCTCCACGCCAGGGGCAGCAGCACCCTTTCTTGGGTGTCTCTTTCTTTGGTTTCTTTTCAGGACGCAGTCATGGCTATCACTCAATTGTAGCTATTTTCACACCGGCTGTTCCAGATAGGAAAGGCAGGTTCAGAGCTTGTTTAATTCCCATTCAGCAAGGGAAGAAACTGAGCCAGTCACGCACTTGTCCAATATCACACAGCCAGTTGGTGTTTGAATAAGAAAAAGAAACTTGCGGGATCTTTGGGCTTCTGACCAGGTTCTTCTGGAGACCTGGATCCCCAGCGGCCTCATTAGGGTCAACCAAGGGTCAGAATCTCAGGGTCCTCTTGCAGGGCCAGACAACCAGTCCCCCAACAATGTATCCTATTTGTTTAAGAGAGGTAAACAATGGTGTGTTCTGGATTCAAGGAAAAGCTACCAAGCCATTGATAAAAATAGAGATTTTTTATTCTGCAGAGGAAATAGATACTATATTGGTGGGGGCGAGGAGCCGCCAGGAGGTGGTGGAAGGAATGCTGATTCCAGGAGGCAAAGGCATCTTTGAAAAATTGGCGAGAGGAGAAGAGGGATCAGAAAAGGCTGAAGGGCAAAAGAGGAGAAGAGTGGAGAGGGATTTGGTTGGGGGTGGAAGTGGTCTCTGCAAACCAGGCTGGAACCCAGCACAATAAATAGTTTTATTTACAACAACCAAATTCGTGGCTTTGTATCCACGTTTCAGTGCAAATTATTTACACACTGATGAGGAGGCAGGACAGGAAAGGGTAGGAGGTGGCCGAGGGAGGCATGGCTCACAGCTGTTCAATGGCTCCATGACTGCGGCTGGAAGAATGGGGGTGTTTCTGCTGGGTCCCCCAACTTCATTTTCCATATCACCACAGCTGCAGCTGCCCTTTCACCCCGGCACCTCCTGCTTCAGCTGTAGGTGGGGAGGTGAAAGGCCCTGATGCCCATGTGAGTGTTCAGGGTCTGCACCCTTGGCAGGGCCGTGTAGGCATTGGGAGAAAACGCAGTTAAAAATGGGAGGGAGAGAGGCAGGGAGGTCCACGGCGTGGTATCCGTCTGGAGCTGACTCGCCATGGGGGAGGGGACGAATCCTTCTCTTACCTCCTAGCCAAGCAGGGGGCAG